GCCTGCTGCTGCTGCTGTATATTTGGAGTTTGCGTCTCTCATCATCATCACGGTGGCTAGGAGATGTTAACTACCTCGCACGGTATACAGGAGGTCGTGGGTACGGTCCCGACCCTGACGCCTGCTGCTGCTGTATATTTGGAGTCTGCGTGTCTCGCTCTCTCCCTCTGGTCGCGTGGATTCTTCTCCGGACCCTCCGGGGTTTTCCCCCTCCACTATTCGCAATCGACGTCACGCGTTCGGAGTATTTTGGCTGCCGCTATAAATGTCCACGTGGTGATGATGATGATGACGAGCCCACTTGGCTGAGCCGTCATTTGTGACGCAGCTCAGTGTGAGCCTTACCTGGTAGAAGTAAAATACTCATCGTTTTTTTTCGGTAGAGTCACGTATGTAGGAATACCATGAAATTATATTAAAACAAATATAACTTTATGGTATTCCTACATACGTGACTTTACCGAAAAAAAAAACAAGGAGTAATTTATGCAGTCACGAAAGCATTAATTCTTTAGAAATAAAATAGGTTAGTCGTAATAGTTTAGTTTAGATTGTCCCTCCGTCCAGCCCAAGCAGCAACCTTTAACCCGTTAGTCCAGCCAGCCAGCGTTTTGTTTTTGTTGTTGTTATTATTATTACACACTTGTTATTTAACTCACTCTGTCTGTTGTTGTATCCTCAAATTTTGTAACTCAATTTTTACCCACTTCCCAATGTGGTATCGACTGCAAACTTGGTATACTTATGTCATAATGATGACAATACTATATTCTATCATAAAAATATATTTTTAAACATTATTTTTTATATGTTATGTTTCGGCTTGGCTCTAATTGTCCACGCTCAACTGACGTTGGCTGTAAATCACCACGGGTCCCCTAACGTCGTGGCAAGCTTCGTGGCCACTTCCTCGAGTCGTGAAGTTCTTCCACTACTAGTACGGTACATTTAATAAAAGCGTGTTTAAAAAAAAAGTGTTTTGTTTAAAAAAAATAATATTACTTATTGTTGATATATCACCAAGTAACGCCCCTTATTCTCTGGATTATAAGACTGTTTTAAAAAATAAATATATTACTTATTGTTGATATATCACGAAGTAACGCCCCTTATTCTCTGGATTATAAGACTGTTTTAAAAAAAAATACTTATTGTTGATATATCACCAAGTAACGCCCCTTATTCTCTGGATTATAAGACGCCCCCGCCAATGCACGCCCGATGTCAGCAAAGTTACGCGCACATCTGGTCTGGCACAAAACACGCGAGCACAACAGCGGCTGCCCAAACTGTTGTGTCTTGGAACTCTGAATTCTGCGGTAATCTGAGACTCTACGGCGAAGTCTCCGCATCTGTAGCACACTAAGATCTGCTGCTTTCGACGCCACCCATCAACTCTTTAAATGCCACCGCTAGTAAAGGGGGAGGGGAGGGGGGGGCGGCGTCCATAAATGACGTCACGCGATTTTGGACGATTTTTGACCCCCCCTCCCCCACCACCACCTCGTCACACGGCGTCACAAAAAGTCAGACCCCCCCCTCATATGACGTCACAAAGCTCTGCCCCCCCCCCAAAAAAATGCTTAAAATCGCTTTAAACTATTGTCATTGTAGTGCGTATTTAATGTGGCGCTGCACTCTGATGTTGTAGTAGAAAACATTTTTAAAAAAAGTCTATTTAATTAAGCAGAACGTGTTTGTCTATATTTATTGAAAGTTGCTGCATTTTGATCTGACGTCACATTTCTCCCCCCCCCCGTCACACATCGTCACAAATGTCTGACCCCCCCCCGGTGCGTGACGTCATTTATGGACGGCCCCCTATACGTTTAACGCAACGGCGAAGCTATGCAACTCGCTAGCTATAGAGCCGGACGCACTGTCGCAACAACTGTCCCTCCGCGTGATCTTGAAACGACCGCGGTTTGTGTTAACACATCCCATCAGCGACACGGGCTCCCTTCTGGGAGAGAGCGTCGGTGGGTCGAGACCAAGGAAACCGGTTCCTCTGGGACCGGTTTCGACACTCAAGTGTCTCATCAGCAGCGGAGGCAGCCTCGCGTGAATCCACGACTGTGGAACTGCTTTTTGTTGTTGTTGTTGTTGTGTTGTTGTGTTTAGTTTGTTGTCCTTCTCTCGCACCTCCGATTAGCGTGGTGGGGGCTACGTGCGGTGTGAAAGAAGTTCAACATACATAGACTCACACAGAGACCCACAGACCAGCACAGAGACCCATAGACTCACACAGAGACCCATAGACTCACACAGAGACGCATAGACTCACACAGAGACCCATAGACTCACACAGAGACCCATAGACTCACACAGAGACCCATAGACTCACACAGAGACCCATAGACTCACACAGAGACCCACAGACTCACACAGAGACCCATAGACTCACACAGAGACCCACAGACTCACACAGAGACCCACAGACTCACACAGAGACCCATAGACTCACACAGAGACCTATAGACTCGCACAGAGACCCACAGCATCACACAGAGACCCATAAACTCACACAGAGACCCACAGACTCACACAGAGACCCACAGCATCACACAGACCCATAAACTCACACAGAGACCCACAGACTCACACAGAGACCCATAGTTTGTTGTCCTTCCCCCGCACCTCCGATTAACCACGCTTGGGCTACATGCAGTCCGAAAGAAATTCCAAAATTCAGATGCCAAGCCGCCGTTTGACTCCCACCCCCACGTGCGTCCGATTGCGCACAGTACAGTGCTGTGTGTATATACACACTTTATACACAGTATATATACACACAGTACTGCGTGTATATATATGTGTGTGGTGTGTGTGTGTGGTGTGTGTACGCGTTTGCAGTGTTTCCAAGAGACTTGTCTTGTTGAACATAAATTATCCTTGAATCCGATTTCGTGCTTTGGTTGCTGTTCCACATTCCACGCGTTAATCTCTCTCGGCTCAACAGGTGAAACGGGTTTTCATTTTGGGTGGGTGGTGATGGTGGGTGGTGATGGTGGGTGGTGATTGGCGATGGGTGGGTGGTGATGGTGGGTGGTGATGGTGGGTGGGTGGTGATGGTGGGTGGGTGGATAGGTGGTGGGTCGGCGATGGTGGTGATGGTGGGTGGTGATGGTGGGTGAGTGGTGGTGATGGTGGGTGGGTCGTGGTGATGGTGGGTGGTGGTGATGGTGGGTGGGTGGTGGTGATGGTGGGTGGTGGTGATGGTGGGTGGTGGTGATGGTGGGTGGGTGGTGGTGATGGTGGGTGGTGGTGATGGTGGGTGGGTGGTGGTGATGGTGGGTGGTGGTGATGGTGGGTGGGTGGTGCCCTACCAACCCCACGGGTCACCCGAGTTCGATTCCCGCTCACGGCCAACACCGGTGACAGATTATCTGAACCGGTCCTGTGCCCTCCCCTAGGTCGACTCAGCCTCAAACGAGTACCCCGGTGTGATGTGCAAAAACATCGCCACGAGGGAGATAAAGGCGGCCGGGCGTGATGCTGGCCACCCACCCCCTCGTGTGCCACAGTTCCGGTAGCCTTCACAGGTTGCTGCTGCTACTCGCTAACAGCACTTGCCCCGACGGCCTGTTACAGGCTACACGGGGGACCTTTATATATTTGGTGTAGGGGGGAGGGTGTGAATGCTAAGGCTCTGTTTGCATGACTCAACTTCATTGTGCACACACACACGCGCGCACAGAGAGACTTGCCGCAAACCTCCAGATAACGATTACGACACCACGCACACGCCAGGCTCCAGTTCCTCAAACTCGCACAAATATTCGTGACACAAACTGAGGCAAAGGTTCCCCAGGTAGCCTGCGGCAAGACTGTGGGGCAAGTGCTGAGCGAGTCGCGGCGAGTAGAAGCAACAACGACGAAGGCCGTCAGGGCACAACGTGGAGGTGGCCGGAAACCACTCCCGGCCGCCTTTGTCTTCCCCCAGTGGCGATGTCTTCTTTTTATTTTTTTACGCGCCGCACACAAGGTATTCATTTGAGGCTGAGTCGACCTAGGGGTGGCCCAGGACCGGTGCAGATAATCTGTCAATGGTGTTGGACGTGAGCGGGAAATCGTGTGCGCGTGCGTGTGTGCGTGTGTGTGTCCACTCGTGTGCCGTGCCGGCCTTCGAAGGCGCAAATCGCCTACAGCACTTGCCCCAACAGTCTGTTAAAGGCTACACGGGGGATCTTTGTCTTGTGTGTCCGTGCGGTGCCGAAGCGGTTAGCGCTGCGCTAGGAACCCGGCGACCCGAGTTCGATCCCCGCTCACGGCCAATACTGGTGATCGATAATTAAATCTGCACAGGGCCTGGGTCACCCCTAGGGTCGACTCAGCATCGAATGAGCACCTGGGTGCGGTGCGTGTAAAAAAAAAACCCCATCGCCACTCGGGGAGACAAAGGCGGCCGGGCGTGGTTGCTGGCCACCCCACCCACTCCCGTGTGTGCCACCGTGCCGGTAGCCTTCACAAGTGCTCCTCGCTAGCAGCACTTGCCCCGACACTCTGCTACAGGCTACACGGGGGACCTTTGGTGCATCGTTGAGCGGCCGCTCGACTCCTTTGCTTCACCCCCCCCCCCCCAAGTCCACACACAGCCAGGAGGCCGTAAGCTGGGAGCCTGTGACCGCACACGCCAGCTGCGCTGATGATGATGATGCTGATACTGATGATGATACTGCGGATGATGATGGTGGTGGTGGTGCCGATGATGGTCATGATGCTGATAGTGATGATGCTGATGATGATACTGCTGATGATACTGCTGATGATACTGCTGACGATTATGATTATACTGCCGCTGATGATGATGAAACTGCTGCCGCTTCTGATGAAACTTCCGCTGAAGATGATGACGACGACGATACCACTGCCGTTGAACATGAACAAGAAGAAGATGATGATGATGACAGTGTCGTGATGAGCAGTAAACATGAGCGGGCTTTTACGAAACAACAATGTCCAGATAGAGAGAGAGAGATGATGAAAAAAAAAACCCTTAC